TAGGGAAATGTCTGTGCCTGTGCATAAATACAATGTGCGATCAGTGATCAGTGCGTCAAGAGCACTCATACACGCATTAATATAATGGACTCGCATGTGCTTACTGTACAATTACTGTACGCCACCGCAATCGCCTTAACCTTGATTGCAGTCTTCATCCATCAAAACTTTACTAGCAAGACACTGTTTATCCAGTCGCGAAAACATAGTTCCCTCTCAAGTGGGAACTCTATGCTGCGTTGGCAGCATTCCGCATTAGAGGCTGGTTGTGAATGCGTCATCTATTTCGGACAGTTTACTAAGTAGTAGGCTCTCTGTGAGTCTCATTTACTGCCTTTGCTCTGCAAACATCCTGAGTATGGGGTGGAGGCGAGTGTCGTCAGGCTTCCTCTCGCTACAGAGAGTTATTTCATTGAGGCCTCCGCTCACCAGAGCTCCACTAGGGCAGTATCTGTGAGTTATAGGCTCTCTGTGAGCCTCCTTACAAGTTGTCCTAAGCATGGGGCGTTGTTAGGCCTCCTCTCGTTTTAGAGAGTCGTCATGCTGAGGCCTCCGCTCCTAGAGCTCGGCCATCTACTGTGAGTATCATCAGGCTTCCTCTTGCTACAGAGAGTTATTTCTTTGAGGCCTCCACTCGTCAGAGCTCCGCTAGGGCAGCATCTGTTAGTTGTAGGCTTATAGGATGTCCTGAGCATGGGGCGTAGTTAGGCATCCTCTCGTTTTAGAGAGTCGTCATGCTGAGGCCTTCGCTCCTAGAGCTCGGCTAGGTATTGGCTAGGTAGTATGGAGTGCTGCTAGGCCGCCTCTTATTGAGAGGTGTTGTATTTAGGCCTCCACTCTGCAGAGCTTCGCGGGCCAGTTGGCTCTTCATGTTAGGCTCTCTTGAGCCTTTTTGGATGCTGGCCTCAATAAGAACGTAGTTAGGCTTCCTATCTCCTGTTGAGGCCTCCATTCTATGCTCCAGTCTATGGTCGCATTGCTGGTGCAGGGGTGAGGACTCCTTTGAGTGTTTGATTTATTTCAGCCAATAAGGCACTCATCCCTTCAGCATGGAGGCGTGGGTATAGCCTACCGTTCCACATAGCGCCCTCTGGGGGATGTAGCGTAGAGTTCCCAGGTTACGTCTCAGGTTATGCATGTAACCATGGTTACATGTGTAACCTGAGACGTTTTGTCTGGGGCTGGTTGCACCACGTTTTGGATCTGGGGCCGGTTGCACTAGCTGTACGCAAGTTA